CAATGTAGCAGCCTTTCCATTTGTTTTGCTAATTGGCATAAATACTCTTTCAGGGAGGTAACAGAACTGACAACAGAAAGCACCATGGAAAAAATTGCAGAGAAAAATGACTTGGTTTAATCATTGACACAGGATGAAGAATGCATGGTTCACATAAGATCATAGTAAAAAGCATGAACTGCAAAAGGTTATCTGGGAAATAGTTGTGTTCCACATACAATAAGTTCTGTACATAAAATGGCTTTCACAAGAGGTGAATTGATGCAATGAACTTAAGAATAAGGTTCTCAACAATTATTTTTTTTGGCAAAATAAAAACAAAGGACTGGTAATACAAGCTGACAAAATTCATTATTTAAATCAGAACCACGTCCTCAACTTTCTGCTGGCAGTTAGCTGTGAGGAAAAATGTGAATGGACTATTTGTGTAATCTACTGCAAGTACACTCGTGTTACTCCTTTTTTTTTTTTAATTTGGTACTTCTTTGACAGTTCTTAATATATGAAGCACAACTGGTAGTTATTGCTGATAGTGGAAAAACGGTTCACATACCCTAGACTTCTGTGGCATGGAAGGTGTACTGTGTTTTGCAGTTCTTATGAACAGAGCATGTAATCTCCATTGGCAAAACGGTGACAAGTCAGTACAAGCAGGAATCAGAAAGTTAAGAATACAGTAATCTTTTAACACAGAGAAGTAATAATGTTATGTTTTCTTACCTGCAGTAATTAATCATTTGTTGCAACATTTTGACAGAGGTTCTAATTGTCCTTTACTGCATGTGTCATTTGTTGAAAATGGAAGCAGAAGTTGAATTAAGTAAAGATCTTTTTTTTTTTTTTTTGGTAGAACGTCTATGACACCCATGTGCACACTTTAATCACAAGTTAAGAGCGTAAGTAAGAGTGTTCTTTTCTCAGGGATTGGATCCAAGCCTGACTCTTTTGAAGACCTAAATAGAATTTGACATCCAACCTGAGTTCTGTAAAAAGCTACCTTACAAACTGCAGTTAATACCCCACACAAGCAACTGGATAAACCAGAACAGGCTTACTAAATTTAAAAAAATATAAAAAGAATTAGAAATATTAAAAATATGCAAGATGTCAAAATTTTATTTTCAGAGGCAAACATTTTTTATTAAGAATCGATGAGTTCTGGAAACATAGATGAAACAACTTTTTTGTTAGGTTAAGCACTTTAAGGCAATATAGATAGGACTGTGAATCATTTATGTAGTGCAAATATTTTTTTCAGGCTAATCCCAGTTTTTTATTTTTTCTTTAAGAACTCATCAGTTATTCCACTGAATTATGCCAAAGTCCTCCTTAATCCAGCATTTCCTTAACTTTTCCTCTTATTACACCCACCTTGTCCCATTCAGATCAGTGGTGTTGCCTAAAGAGAGACTGCAGAGAAAAAGAGGCCAAGATAAGATAAAGAGAGTAGGTCCTTTAATCAGCCTACAGGCCCCAGGGAATACACATAATGCGTACGTGTCCATACAGTGGTTCTATGTTTTTATAATAAGGTCCATCCGGTCCCAGATCTGTCCACCCCCAGTTCTGCCCCCTGACATGCCCCTGTGGGAATTGGGTCTGGGGGCATTTGGGACCTCTTCTTCCTTATCTTTTTCTTCTTTGCAGCATGTATAGTCCTTGGAGCTCCTCCAAAGTTCTGGGCTTGAAGGTCACTGTCTGTGTGATACCTTCTGGTCCAGGCCTAGAGTGCTTTTCTACAGTACTATCTTGAAAAGACTAAACATGCTAACGGAATTTAGAGGGATTGATATGAAATGGCGTAATAAGGTTGGGTGTGTGTAACTATTATGTTTCAGGGTAAGGGATATAATACAGCTACATTTACTACACAACTACTTCTAAAATCTACAAAAGTTAAAAAATCCAAAAAACTCTGAGGCATCAGTCCCCCCTTTAGGGATGGACAAAATTCGATCTTGTCCAATCTCTACCACTTACACCTAGCATTATACCGAAGGGATGACCAACACCTACAGCATCAGGTCATGTAATGAGCTATTACACAAACACTAATTATGTGTGTCACTAATAGAAACAGTTGTTTTATCCAGGTCCAGTTGGTAACTATGAAGTAAGTTTATAGATGTTGTCTCCATAAACCTAATGAGACATTCTCAGGAATCATCCAGTGGAGAATTTAAACTTGTTGCCAGATTTCAGCCATAGTGCAAATCCAGCACTCACTTTCATGAAAAATATTGGATGCATTTTTACTAAAATCAAATGTAAATTTTGGTTTTAAACCCGATCCATAGTTATCAGTGGTATTAGACAATACACACAGAAAAATAGTTTAAACATAATTTTAACAGTTTGTAACAGAGGCTTTCTTCCCTCTGGGTAGCAAATCCAGGGTTCTTTGCCAACAGCTCTGACCACGATGGAGATGGTCAGCAGAACTTGAAACAGTTCTTTCCATTTGACTTGCAGGGGTTTTAGTCCCACTGTTTAGTATAGGCTGGACAGTTTGTATTTATAGTTTGTGGGCTGGAACAGAGGAACAGGAGTGTCCAGTCCCAGAGGTCTAGATGACATGATGATTCCCTGCAGTTTCTGCAAAGCAGAGTCTAAACCATTCAACAATTTTGCAGATTAACCTTCCCTTATGTGAGTAGAGATCATGTTGTTTTTCCACCTTGGATTGTATGTGGATCTTTTAAAAAGGCCACATGCAGGACCTGAACCGACATCATAGATGTTTCTTGACAAACCCTGTTTGTTTGTGCTTTGTGAGGCAATGAAGTGTGACTCTCTGTCCGATGACAATCTCACAGGAACCCCAAAACTTGGAATTCCTGCATCTTGACTGTGTGAGAGGAACTCGAGCTTTTATAATATACAGTGATTAACTGCCAGTCATAGATCTATAGGCCAGTTAGGAGCTTACCAGAAGCAAGCTGTGTCTGAATGCAACACCAGACAGCACCCTGGAAGTGCCAGTAGTTCATTGCAGAGAGCTTGTACTCTCTGGACAGATTCCAGGCCTTATCAGGGGACAGGCCATCCTGCCACAGTCTGCCCCAGACTGCACTCAATCATCTTTACCTCATGGAGTCCTAGTGCAGGTACCTCTTGCCTCCATGGATAAAAGCATCCTCATGTATTGGGTTAGGTGCACTCATGTATATGTGTCTGTATGTGTATGTGGACACCAAGAGAAGAGCTGTATTACAATACATACATTACAATTACAATAGCTTTGTATTACAAAGCTAGGAAGCAATCTAAGCAAACCATTTAAGTGATCTAAACAAATCATCCCACTAACAATGGGGTTTGAGACCAGTTTGTCTCAAAGATTGCAGGCAAGATGCAAGTCATGTCTCAGGGTGCCATGGGAAGGTCCACAGAACCAGTGCTGTTGCAGTGCTGCAACCACCTTCTCACCCCGATTTCCGTCCTAACACAGGACTCTTCTGTGAAACTCAGCGTTCACACACTCCTAGATGACACTGAATGACAAAGCATTTTAGATGCATAAGGTAGATAAATTTGATCTCACAATCACATGAAATCCTATATGGATTTCCCCACCACACCATCCCTTTCGCAAGATGCAGTAGCCAAAGAGACGCAGATATTCTGAACAGTGTTTGCAAAATGTTGTTAAAGTGCTCTGTCCTAGTTAGAACAACTGGGACCAGTTCCTCACTGTATGGGTGTAACCCAAAACTGTCTATTCTATAGCCTTCCATGCCGTTTCCCAGAAACTGTTATCAATAGACCATTTACACCATCTGCCCAGAGCAGCCTGACTCATCAGGCTATAAACTGGGTGTTAAGAGGCCTGTGAGATAAGAGGATGCTCCTGTCTTCACACCCATCGTGGAACTCCCCACCCTGAGGGAGGTACTGGGCATTCCTGCCTGAACTGGAGGATATATAATCTTGGGGTCTTGGGACTTTTGTAACCACTCGTGGAATCCAGAGGAAGACTGCAGACCACCGCTCTCAACCAGACTGCAAACACCACTCTCGACTGGACTGTAACCACTACTTTTCAACCAGACTGCAACCACCACCCTCGACCAGACTGCAATCACCACTCCTGACCACACTGCAACAGCACTCTCACCAACAGGTTTTCCCCTCTCCTTTTTACTTTGAACTTTTTACAACGAACACCACTCTGTTCATGCCCCAGGGTGCTGGGTTTTGTGGGTTAAAACCACTTGTTTGTCTGTATAATCGTACTTATTGTATCATTTTATTAAATTGTTATTCTGATTTATAATCTCTCTTTTGAGTCGGGTTCATTTCCCCTGCTGGTTTACCTTTAAACTGGCACATGCTCGAACAGAACATATACAAATATGAACATTGCAAACTTTAAAGCAGTCAATATAGCAAAAGCAATATAAGCTTTCAATTCTACTGTAATTAAACTAACAGTAAGAGAAGCCTAACAGCAACATAGGATAGAAGATAAAAAACCCACATACATTAGTCATGGCACTGTCTGGTGTTTTCACAGTATTATTCAAATTGCAGTCTGATTCTTATATTACCACCTTTGGAGATCATAGGTTGATCTTACAACAGTTCTTTACCGTGACGGAAGCTTTTACCTATCTTAGGAATTCTTGTTACAGTCCAAATCCTTTTGTCTTAATGTGTCTGACTTACAGTTGTTAAGGCATTTAACAACTTATTTGTTTGCTTCTGCATAAAAGTTGTTTCCACTTTCAGTCTCAGTTCTGGTGGCGCAATTTCCAAGTCTGCCTGCTGAAATAAGACTTTCTGCAGACAGTCAACTTCTGAGACATTGTTAGGTCACATTGAAAGCAAAACAATGGTTTTGCCACAGCCCCCCAAACTGAATCAGGGCACAGAGGGCAGGAATGTCCATGGACTGTGAGCCTGGAACAGGCCCAGAGCACACAGGCCAAAACAACTAACTCTTCTTCCCCTCCCTCCCCCCTTTGTGTTAGACAGTCCAGCGGGCGAGGGGAGGGCCACAGTGGTGGGACAGTGCCTTCCGAACCTCCTGTACCCCTCCGCAGGTCACCATAGGGACAGTTACCACAAGAGTCAGTCTTGGGTAAGCTTCCCTTCTGAGCTTCCCTTCTCGCTGTTGCAAAAAGTATCTTTCCGGTTTTCGCCTACTCCTGGACCCCGTTGCTATGGCAACATTAGGAGCAGGAACCCGAGCAGGCAGGGCACTGCCAGCTCGGCAGGTGGGGCGGGCCCAGGGGCGGTCCGGGGCTGGACCATTCGTGCCCTAGTCCACTCCTCTCCGAGGCGGAGAGCTGTCCTACCCGGTAGGTGGCTGCGCCCACGGCGGCTTTGGGGGTCCGAAACTGGACTTCCCAAAGCTGTGGGGGAAAACCAAGTGTTGTGATTAAAAACTCCGAAGAGCTCTGAGGCATCAATAGGTAACCAAAAATGCTTACAGGCAGTGGTAAGGTGTGACTGTTTTGTTTTTTCTAACATAATCTAGTAGAGTCAAGAATGCCACACTATTTATTAAAAAAGAAAAAAAAAGAGTATTTTCTTTAGGCTGGGACAACTGCATTCTTAATTAAACTTCTTTGCTTTTCAGATGCAAAGGAAAAGGATTTCCATTTATGAAGGCAGTTTTTTGAACTTTGAGCTATTGATAGAAAGGTTCCCAGCACACTGCTGCATTCCACAAGAGCCTTTAGTTCCTAATGAGTACTAAAGGTTATGGTGTGGCAGTGGATTTGTCCCAAGCAGGTTATAGTACAACTCAAACAGATGTTGAAATAAGAATATATATTTAAAGGATACTAACCTGCCAAAATCAAACTCTTAATTAAAGTGTCTGGATCTAATAGAATTCTAATCCCTATTCCGTGTGATATGAGTACTCTGCTGCAGTTCTGAGTGTTGTATGTCATGGTGGGCTTGTCAAACTCTGGTCCTTATTCAAAATTAAAGATGCTGGAATTAGTTTAGGGCTTTAGGCGGGACAAGTCCCAAGCTGACATCTTTTTTTTGATATATATGTTTTCCTTTCCTTTTTGTTTTTATACATCTTTTAATTTTCATCAAGGTCTGTTTCCAGCTATGCAGTGAAAACACTAGTAAGTTCATGGTTCAAAAATGTTGTAGGCTTTGCAGACTTAAAAGTTCCTAGGTAAAATTGCTACCAACCATGTGAAAAATTACTTGGATTTTCATCTCCCTGTTTTGTCGATGAGTGTCTTTGTATTTTGCAAAATATGTTATAGGAATGGGATAAGCAGGATGAAAAGTACTTGGGGACTAAGAAGACATTACTGAGAGTAAATTATTGAATAGACAGATGGGAGTGAATGTTTCGGTGATATCTACTTTCCTGTACCCTTTGTCCTCCTTCTTTTGGGACACAGATCAGTGGGACATGCTATCTGTTAAATGCTGTAGGAGAGAGCATGCATCATATGAATTCAGCATTCTTTCAAACCTTGACTTTAATAACATATGCAGAAAATTCTCCAGAGTGACATAGTTTGGAACAAAGTTTGTGGAAGCATTCAAACTTGATAAATTACCTGTTTTGTGTTTGGGGTTTTTTTGCTAAGTAGTGACAGTGACACTCCAGGGGAACTAGTGGGTCAAACAGTAACCTTGATTTTGTCGGTTCTTAACCCATTCCGTATCAGTAGAGTTTGCAGTATAATTCGTAGCAAGCTGTGAAGCTGACATTTGCTCCAGAGACCTAGTAAGGAATTTGGGGATGAGTAACATGTGTGAAAGCCTTATCTGCGCCACTTTTTCCCTGGTTATGCTCATTAAATCAGGAAGCAGGAGAAATATCTTGGATCTGACATGACTTTGTTGTTTTATAATTTCAAAGCTTTGCTTTCATGTTCCATCTTAAAACTGATTTGTGCACATTTTAGTAAGATGGATGAAAATTACAGAGGAAAAGAATAAAACTGACAAGACCATAGTAGGTGTGATGGCAGAGAACTTTCATCTACCAGTGTCCTGGTAGTATATACCTCAATAATTGGATTATGCTCAAAATGAAAAAACAGTGTAGGACATGTTAAAAAGTGGTTCATTTCACTAGTGGCAATAAATACAGTCAATCTTTTAACAAGGATTTAGTTTTAGACACAGAGCGCAGCTGTGATCAGCTCTATAAACTTTGTCCGTCTAGTTCTCTAGAACTAATAAGAGCAGTGCTTTTTAAATTCAGTTACACTTTTCAACCAAAAAATAATTGCTAGTCATCTGGTAGTAAGAAATAGATTCTCCAGCTTCTATATCAGTTTTTCCAAAATATATGCATGTCCTTCTAGTTACGAACTAAATTTGAAATTATAGACAACAACAAGATTTTTTTTTTTTTGTAAAGATTAATGTGAAAGTACATAAGGGAAAAATATCTGAACAGATTATTGAAAAAGAAAAATTGTTCCTTTTTGGATTTTTCAACACTAATTTTAAATTTGCTTTTAGAAAGAGTGTACTAAGTATCTAAATTACATATTTCAGATTTAATGTCATAGTAGTTTAGAACATGGACTGTCTTTAATAAAGGAATATGGGGAAATGCTAACTCTAGTCCTAGTATTTGAAAAAAAATACCATGACTATACATAAAAAATCCTGTCTGTATATTATTTTTGTAATTATTATTATTATGCACAGCGCAGTGGTTAACACTTCCATCACCTCTGACCAGGGGCTGTTTAATGATTCCTCATTTGTGGAGAGATCCCAGTGATACAGAGCAAAATCCATTAATTCAAGAACTGAGATGTGGTCCCCTAATTCATAATCTATTAATCCCAGTTTTGAGATAATTTCTTTCTTCCACTTGTACACATTTTACAAATGTTCTCTTGTATCTGCATCCTTTAATGGTTCTTGTATCCACATAAATAAGACCGTATGATGTCTGCATTGTTTTCTTGTATTTATACATATAAGATGTGAGTGAAAAATGATGAATTTATATTATATATACCAACTTAAAACCACAAGGAAATACTTTAAATAGAACTTGTTTTCTTTGGTTTTAGATGTTGATTTTTGTATTATATTTCTGAGAGTGTCTGTAGTATTAATATTTTGAGCTATCTCAAACTCCTTGTTAATTGAAAAGTTTGAGTTTGTTTTATCAGTCCCATAGCAGAACAAGTGAAACTAAGGCCTAATTAAAAAAGAAAGTTCTGGCCACAGAGGAATCAAACTGATGTAAATTTTTTTTCTACTTTCAGTTTTACCTGTGCTGCCACAGCAATGTCCTGGCACTGGTGCTGCTCAGGAGATGCAGAATTTCATCTTGAAAGATCCTGTAACCTCAATAAGGTTCACTTACCTTTTTTTTCCAGTTTTTCATTTGCAATTTCTGCTCTGTAATCCTATCATGAGGGCAAGATTAATCTGAAATATTCTGAATGTCAGTGCTGAAATACATCTCTCAGACATGTCATGAGACATCAAAGAAAGGTTATGTGATATAGCATTTGAAAGTGAGAATCCCGTCAGATCTGCTATCAGACCCCTATTAAAACTTTGGTTTTTATGGATCCAACTACACTGACACCCAGTCAACATTCCCTATGGTCAACCTTTTAGTTACCTCCTCAAGTGCTGAATTATAATCCAATCATAACCAATATGGGGGGTTCAGGGGATGGGAGGGGGATACAGGGGAATGGAGGTGGGGGAAGAGAGGGGAGGGATATCAAGTGGGCCATGGGGGTCCTCTGATTGGCAGGAGGGAGAGCGGGGCAATCGTGTATGAAGTGTCACAGATGAGCAGTGCACCTGAAGATACGTGGTAACACAGTGGAGGAAGGATATGGTCAGGGTGGATAGTGGGGTTCCTTTAGAGTGATGGGGGTCCCAGCCAAGCTGGGGCCTTGAAAGGCACCCCAGCCTTGGATGTGTACGGGGGCCAGAACGGTTGGTCGGTTTGTTTGTCTGTTTGGTTTTGGCTCACCTGCGGCTACTGCCCAAGTTCGGCATGTTCTGGATATATTTGCTTTGCTCTGTTACGTCCTGAAAGGGTGGTCAGGACAAAGAGTTGTTCCTGGGTATCTCCTTATGATTGTATATAAATAGGCGATAGTAAAGAAGGAAATGAAAGACTTGCCCAAACCGTTCTAACACCTGAATAAAAGCACAAAGATCAGTGTTTACAGAACCATTGTGCTGTCTACTCTCTTATACGGATCTGAATCATGGGTCATCTACCACCACCATCTGCGACTCCTGGAACACTTCCATCAACGCTGTCTCCGTTCAATCCTAAACATCCACTGGTCAGATTATGTGACCAATACATCTGTTCTTGAACAAGCAGCTGTCACAAGTATTGAGGCCATGTTACTGAGAACACAGCTGCATTGGGCAGGGCACATCTCAAGGATGAATGACCACCACCTCCCTAAGATCCTGCTTTATGGTGAACTTGCCCCTGGCTGCCGCATGAGAGGAGCCCCGAAGAAAAGATACAAGGACTCCCTGAAACAACATCTCAGCTTGACCATACTGATCATCATAACTGGTCTACTCTGGCCTCCAATCAAGAGGCCTGGAGACACACCATCTATAACGCTGCTGATGCTTTTGAGAAAGTACGCAGAATCTCCCTTGAGGAGAAAAGGCAATGCAGAAAGAATCATGCCTTGCAGAATATACCATCTAAGGAGTCTTTCTGTTGTGCCTTTTGCAACCAGACATGTCTATCTCGTATTGGCCTTTTCAACCACCAACGCGCTTGCAACAAACGTGGGTTAGAGCCCTTCCCAAATCTTCGTTTGCGAAACCTAGCCATGATGATGATGACAACTAGTGTGTTCATTAGGAAGAATAATGGTGTGGATAAGTAGACTATGCCCAGATGTGAAGCATTTTTCAAGTCAGTTAATGTAACTCACCCTTACAACACAGAGCAAAACATATTCAGATACCTCATATTCCCTTTATATACATAATGACCTTTCTTTAAGGTAGAGAAATCTTACTGAGCCTTCATCATTACAGTTCATGTTAAAGTTTTTGAAGTCAGATGGATAGAGAACCCAGAGGTCATCTGTAACAATTCACCTCTAAAAAAGTAATAGTGAACCCTGA